GTATATAATCATATCAATTTCATATCTAATTAACAACTCTTTCTGCTGATTACCAAAACCAATACCAGAGCAAAAAAAATCAGCAAATAATTTTTAAGATGTCAATAAATTTACTTTCAACCGAAATCTTACAAGAGATTGTCAAAAATTTAAGGCAAAATGATATGCTTTCATGTCTATTAGTAAATAGAGAATGGTGTAAGAATACAGTTCCAATTTTATGGCAGGATCCACAATTACTTCGTAATAAATGTAATAAATATAGATTATTGGCAAGAACTTATTTACTTTGTCTTACTTGGGAAGAAAAGAAAGTACTAAGGAATAATGGTGTACCAATTCCACCTGCACCTCGTCGGCGTTCTCCAACATTTGATTATCCTTTTTTCCTTCGTAAAATTAGAATTGGCTTTATTGGACGTTTGGCGTTTGAATGGTTATACAGGAAACGGTCTGTGAAGCAAAAAGATGTAATCTTACATTTGAATAAAGCGTTACAGGAACTTCTTTTTAGTAGAGCTCAAAGGATTGAACATATTTGCCTTGATTCTGAATGGCATTTTGCTGGACGACAATTTCAAAGTTGGCAAAATTTGAAAGTTCTTGAAGTATGTGCAAGCGCTTATAGCTCTTATAATCCAAATTCATTTTTACAAACTATTGTGAATTCTTCATGCAAGAATATCAAAATTATAAATTCAGATGTTGATCAAAAACACAAAGATTGTGATATTTTATTGATTCAGTTGATAAAAAATCAACGATCTTTAGAAGAGATTAAATTAGGATCATATTTTCAAATCCCTCAATCTATAAGCACTTTGAAATGTTTAAAATTTAATAATGTAGACTTTTCAGCTTTTAATGGAGAGTTTGCCAGAAATTCACTTGATACTATAGAGTTACTTGAAATTAGATTCTGTCGATTAAAGACCGAACATTTTCTCAATAATGTCCTTAAAATGAACAATTTACGGCAATTTACGTTCAGTGATCATAAATTAAATGATCCATTGATTCATAATTTTTTCATCAAATTATTAAAAACCATTAATAATCTAAAATATCTTTGCATATCTTTTGAGTACAAGGATCAACAAGCATATGATTTGGTCGAAGCAATAGCACCACTCTGTTTACAACTTGAATATTTAAAATTACCATCGTTTGATATGAAAGAAATTTTACCATTTATGAAATCATTTGATCAATTAAAATATCTTCGAATTGATTTGGACATTAGATTAAATACAACATTATTTTTGCAGATTGCTAAAGAGTTACCATCAAGATTACAACATTTGATCATTAATGATCAAAAATATCCAATAAATCAAAGATATAGAAGGAGCAGGAGAATTTATGTTTCTTTTGGAACCGAAGTATATAAAAAATTTTTTAGCACAATGAATTGTAATGAATTAAAATCTTTATATATTTGTAGCGATTTCTTGCCATCAGAGCTTCAAAATCTTAATATTAAATGGTATAGTAAAGAAATGCCTGAAAAAATATAACCTTCTTTATATATATATATATATATATGTATATATGTATATATATATGTATATATATATAGCGTAGATGTTAATTTTTTTTTTACATTCCTTATAATTACACATATTAACTAAAAAGGGTGGATATGTAAATTTTTTATGTTTTGCTGGCGAAACTTTATATTTGTTGGTTTTTTACAACTTTTCCTTTTTGTTTAACATCCTTGGTAGTTTCCTTTTTGTTTAGATCATCAGTCCTTTCATCTTG